CATTTTTCACCCGGAGTGCTGGAACTCCTATGTGGCCCGGGTAGAAAATTACCTAAGGGTTAACCAGGTCCAGGAAGACAGCCTGAAAATGGAAACCCTGCTGTGCGTCTGCGATGAGGACACCTTTGACATGGCCGAAAACCTGGTAGCCCCTGCACCGCTGGAGTCAGTCACCTACACAGACTTAAAAAACAAGCTGAAGGATCACTTCCATCCCAAACTGTCTGTAATTGCATGGAGGCATGCTTTTGAGCAGAGGGACCAGAAGCCTGGTGAGTCTGCTGCAGAATTCATCGCTGCCTTGAGACAAGCTGCCAGGCCTTGTGAATTCAAGGACCTGGAAGAACACTTATGAGACCGCTTCGTCTACGGCCTTAGAAGCAGAGAGCTGCAACAAAAAATCTTTGCTAAAGCTGAAGTCACTTTCCAAGATGTCTTGCGCAAAGTTGCAGCTGAAGAAGCAGCAGGCGGTGCTGTGAAGGCCTTGCGGCTCACCAGAAACGCTCCAGCTGTCACGACCGTCCATCAAGAGGTCGCTCAAGAAGTTCCAGATCTGGATCCTGAAGAGGAGGTGGACAGACTTCACCAGCCGGTGGTAAGAAGGCCGTGAGAGAAACCAGACAAGGCCCCAGCAGCCCTTCAGTGTCTCAGTTGCGGAGGACACCACAAGCGCACGGACTGCCGGTTCTGCTTCACCATTTGCCAGGCATGTGGTAAGCAAGGCCACATTGCCACCGTTTGTTTGGGTCACCAGCAGGTGCAACCTTGGGGAGAATTCCTTCCGAAAGGTACCAGGGTCCCCAGCCAACACAGGGTGGGTTTCTGCGCATCGCGCAGAAGCATTTTACAGTTAGACCCAAACATCACACCAGTTAGTATTAAGCCTAGGAGGGTGCCCTTCACCCTCAAAAACAAGATTGATGTTGAGCTGGACAAGCTGCTCCAACAGGGCATTTTGGAACATGTGGACTCAAGTCCATGGGAAACCCCCATTGTAATGCCTTTAAAGGCTTATGGGGAACTCCGAATTTGCGCGGACTATAAATGTACTTTGAATACAGTTTTGCAACAGCATGCATATCTTGTACCGGTAGTGAGTCATATTCTGGCCTCCCTCAAAGGGGGAAAGCTGTTTGCAAAGCTTGATTTAGCACAGGCCTATCAACAGCTACCTGTTGATGAGGCAACTGCTGAGGCCCAAACAATAGTGACCCATAGGGGGGATTTTAAGGTAAAAAGGTTACAATTTGGGGTGAATGTTGCTCCTGGCATATTTCAGAGCGTCATGGAGTGCATGCTCAGGGGTATTCCTGGGGTTTGCCCCTACTTTGATGATGTCCTCATCGCAGGGGAGTCATCACAGAATTTGGCTGAGAGGTTACGGGCTGTGTTGCTGAGGTTCCACTAAGCGGGCCTCAAATTGAAAAAAGACAAATGCAAAATTGGAGTTACTTCCACAGAATTTTTAGGCTTTAAAATAGATTCTCAAGGCATCCACCCTGCAGAATCTAAACTGAAGACCATTCAGGAGGCCCCAAGTCCCAAGTCTAAAAGCAAGCTTCAGGCTTTCTTGGGACTTCTCAACTTCTATCATGCTTTATTTCCCCATAAGGCTGCAGTGGCTGAGCCGTTACACTGGCTTTTAGATAAGCAAGCTGCATGGCAGTGGACTAAGGTCCATGAGAGGAGTTTTAAAGAGGTCAAGGCCTTGCTCTCATCAAATGCTGTATTAGCACATTTTAATGAGCAACGGCCTGTGTGCATCGCTTGTGATGCATCCCCTTATGGGGTGGGTGCAGTACTCAGTCACCTGAAGGCTGACAGGATACAAGTCCCTGTGGCTTACTACTCAAGGACTCTGTCATCTGCAGAGCGGAATTACGCTCAGATTGACAGAGAACTTTGGCCACAGTGGCTGGCATAAAGAAATTCCATGATTTCTTATAGGGCCGCCACTTCACGGTCTATACAGACCACAAGCCTTTGCTGGGGTTGTTTACAATGACCAAACAAACACCACACATCATATCCCCACGTATGCTGAAGTGGTCCATTTTCCTGTCAGCATATGACTACACGCTCATTCACAAACCTGGGAAAGAAATGGGCCATGCAGATGGCCTCAGTAGGCTACCTCTCACACAAATAGAGGCAGATCCTGCACCTGCTGTTAATATTCTCTCTGTTCAGGAACTGCCTGAATCTCCCCTCAATGCTAGGGACATGGCTGCAGAAACTGCCACGGATCACACGCTTACACGCGTGCTGACATGGGTGTTGTCAGGATGACCTGACATGTGTCCAGATGCTGCGTTTCAAAGCTTCTGGCAAAGGAGGCACAAACTGTCTACATTTAATGGGTGCCTGTTATGGGGTAATAGAGTAGTTATCCCAGCCTCACTGAGGTCTAGAGTTTTGTTCTCTCTGCATGAGGGATATTTGGGCATTGTGCGCATGAAAGCACTTGCACGCAGCCATCTTTGGTGGCCTGGGCTTGATAAAGCTATCGAGGCCCAGGTGCACAGGTGCCAAATATGCCAACAGTCATGGCCTGAAATGCCGTAACTGTTGGCACACCTGACTGAGAGGCACACCTGACTGAGAGGAGACACAAACCCCTTGGTCAAGGGTACATTTAGATTATGTTGGGCCCTTTCAGGGGCAATTCTTCCTTATCCTGGTGGATAGCCATTCCAGTGGCTAGAGGTTGTATCTGTCTCCTCCACTACTACTGCTAGGACCATCCAGGTGTTGAGAGGAATCTTCGCTACCCATGGACTTCCTGATGTCCTCGTCTCTGACAATGGCCCCAAATTTACTTCTCTTGAGTTCCAGGCTTTCCTACAGGCCAACTTGATCCAGCATGCAATGTCAGCTCCTTTCCACCCTTCCACCAACGGGCAAGCTGAACGGATGGTACGCACCACCAAAGATGCACTCAAAAGAATCACGCACGGTAGCTGGCATCACAGGTTAGCAGATTTTCTTCTTGCACACTGCACCACACCATGCATTGCCACTGGAAAGAACTCTGCTGGGGCTGACACCTCATCACGAAGTTGGACAGACTGCACCCAGACCGGGTGGCTTTACAGGTGTCACAGCCGCGGGCACCTAGGAGAGTTCAGGTGGGCGATCCAGTCTGGGCAAGGAACTATGGTCCTGGACATCTCTGGGTCAGTGCTGTTGTATGCAAGGTCTCAGGGCCACTCTCATACGAAGTGGCCTTGGGCGATGAACGCATCCTTTGGCACCATATTGACCAACTGCGCTGGCAGTTGTCCAACGTTTCCGCTCCTGGCTCTGCTCTTGGGGGGGTGGAGGGCCATCAATTGCATTCAGTCTGAGGGCCTCAGTCTCCCAGCTCCAGCGAGTTCTCACATGCTAATGCACAGGGTCCAGTGACTGAATGGGGGCATTCTCAGGATTCAGCTATTGCTCCAAACAGGGAGTCTCCAGAAAGGGGGGTCATTTCGCACATCAGTTATTGCTCCAGACAAGGAGTCTCACCGGGGGTATCCACACAATACAGAGAGCGCTCCAAACAGGGAGCCACAAGAGAGGGGGTTTGCCATGGAGGCAGCTCCTGACTCTGGCACCTCGGCCACAGACACGGGGGACTGGGACTAATGGGGCACTTCTGCAACGTAGATCACTTCCGATGCTGGTCGCGGGTTCGAGGGACAATGTTCCCAACAGGAGTCCATTGTGGACTTGGAGAATTCCACTCCACCATTGGGCTTGGGAATTTCCACCCCTTCGAGGAAACCTGGCTTGGATTCAGAGGATCCAGCCAGTCAGCAGCAGAATGGGTCACCTGGAATTCTAAGGCATCAAAGTCCTGATCTATCAAGCCCACCAGAAGGCAGGTAGGCCAAGCACCATTAAATAGAAGTCCTGGTCTGCCTAGACTGGCAGGTGAGCTGTCAGGCCAGGCACCCTCCCTGACCCTGCATCAGTCACAAAGGGCCAAGGCCCACCTAAATACCTTAAAGGTTATGTACGGTTACTATCAGTATAAAGGCCACCTTACTAGTTAAAGAATTATGTTCCATAAAGTGGTTGTTGTAATTATTTTGTTAAAAGTTTATTTGTTATTATTATGATTTAGTATAAAGTGCTCTGCCTATGCACAGTAAAAGAAACTTGTGTTTAACACTTATCCTGTTCTAGACACCTGTATTGGGCTATTGTGCTTTCTGTGGCGTGTTTCATCCAGGGGGGAGCGGTGTTGTGTCCTGGGCCTGCTGAAGCATTTCAGCAGGCCCAGAAATGTTGCAAACGGTCCCGGGCAACCAAAAAGCTGCCTGGGACCAGACTGGCTAGCGCCAGACTTGTGCGCATGCGCATGGCCCGAAAAAATGTTCTTCCCTATTGGCTGGACTGCCTGGGTTTGGGGACTATAAAAGGCCTGCGTGCCTGCTTGGTAGAGAGTTAAGTTGAGGAATGAATAAAGAAGTACTTGATTACAACATGTGTCTTGCTTCAATGCCATGAACTCCAAAACATAAAAATACCCAAATTAATTTTCTCATGTTCCAATTTAACCTGGGTTAAATAAAATATAAACTTTTATTTATTTAGCTGTTTTGATGTAGGTGAGACACAGCAAAATAACAATTGGAAAATCACATCAGATTCTCATGACTAGGTAGCTCTTTTCCCTGTTTTAAGAAAGTTGCCTTTAAATTAATAAAAAATCTGAAGATTTGTTTTTCATTTTTTTAAAATGTATTTGTTTAGAAAATCCTTTTAGGAATTTTCTATAGGTCTCAAAGCAGTACTCAGATATACAAACAATACTCAGATATACAAACAATGTGTATATGGACGTATGTATATAAACTACATTGCCCAATTTCCCAAGATCAGTAGTGTTAATGCCTATGTCCTATAATCCGATTTGAGTCCCAACTCAAAAATAGTTATCCTGACAAAAAGTGAGCCAATCTAATACTTATTGAAATGTTGTCTTCTTCTAGATAAGAAGGCTGCCCTACCTTGCTTTATTCTTTGTCCTTGTGTAGTTTGTATAACCCACAGTCATTCCAAAGTTCATGTAGTTCACTGGAAATCATAATAACCCTATGAATGAAATGAGATAGTAAATCTATGAATATCAGATGTTAAGAGTCGCCTTTAATAAAGTATTTGCTAAACAACTTCTTGTTATAGATTTTAAAAGGATCTCTGATTGTTATTATGACTAATGCTTTGTTAATGTTAGAATTGCAGTCATTGATCCAGTGCAGAATTATATGCATTTGACAACAATGTGCAGATGGTCCTTTTTCCAATCAATTTAGAAAGCTAGATTATTTTTGTCTGAGCAGTAAAATGGCACCACATGATTTGGACGACAGAACTGAAAGTTAGCAACCAACCATACTTTGAGGTTTGTCCCATTGTCGGCTCTCTAGAATAAGACAATGGATTCAGGGTATACAATTTTCAAAGATTTGGAATAAAGTTCAGATATCTATGTTTGGAAAAAACAAAATCTTGTGAATATATTTCTTTAGGGGAAAAAAGAAAAGAATTTCTAAGATTCTCCAAGAGCCAAACAGTGAAACTTCCAGTTATGAATAGACCAGAAGTCATCATGGCATAAATGCACCAACCAATGCTTTTAAGCAGAGAAAAAGGCTGTGATTTTCTTGGGGAAGTGGAAGAAAATGTATTTTTGAACTGCCAAGTGTAATGTCTTGCTGCCTTATGTTTTGCGTTTGTGATATATTTCATTTGTTCTCACAATAAATCTATATGGGTATTAAATAATATGAAGTGAGAAAGAAAACCATCTGTTGACTCCAGAGTAGAGATCATAGCATTAAAATCACATTTTGTGGTTGGTGCTGTGGTAAACTGAAACATATATTGGTTTCGTTTGTGGCAAAGTAACATATTTCAAACTATCCAAGGAAATGAAAGAGATGAAAAGCAGACATTTCTCTACTGCTATTATTTTTCCACTACTAGATAGGTTCTTCTTTCACGCAGAGCAAAGATACGATGTAACAGGCTTGATTAGACATCTATGTAAAGTAAATTTCAGGGTAATTTAGCAGGTTCTAGAATCCTCTGTCACATACCAAGGATTCAATTATGAAAAGAGCTTTTTCAACCATTTGGGCGATATGGGAAGAATTGCCAAAGGGTGAAAATTTGAAATTGCATACACTGGGGGGGGGGTCTTCAAACTTGGCCCTTTTATGACTTGTGGACTTCAACTCCCAGAATCAGCCAGCGTGCCTGGTTGAGGAATTCTAGGAGCTGAAGTCCACAAGTCATAAAAGGGCCAAGTTTGAAGAGCCCTGGCCTACACCATTCTTTTGCTAGTCATTATATCAGTATAAGGACTTACCCAAGTGCCCATAATATGGTTGCTTATAGCTGAATCATGAACTGTGGAAAACACATTCTCTTTGTGAAATTCAGCAAAGTTACCTTTAGCTGTCAATGCATAACCTAAATGACTCAAAAATATCTATATGTGTCTTTCTTTTGTGATAAATAGCACTTCTAGTTATTGATATTTTGCAGAATTGTGTACTGTATTAGATCTACATAGCTATATTATTCCATTTTTTTCCTCCAAGAAATATTATGAGAAGAAGATATATGAAAAACTGAAAGCTCCTCTTAGTCCTTTGACTTCTAGGACAAAACACGCACAAAAAGTTGTATCTGAATATAAAATCTGTCAGCAGGTATGAGAGAGTAATCAATTCTCCTAGTTCAAAAGCTGGTACCTTGCCAACCTGAGATGGCTTCACCTGTAAAGTGGAAGAAGATGAATCAATATATGAAAGAAATCTATCTTGTATGAAATAAAATCTAACATAAATACAGGCTAACCTACTCAATCCCAAAAGTCATATCAGTTATGTCTTTCTGCTTTTAATGGATAGTGTACTTAATATATATATATATATATATATATATATATATATATATATATATATTTCAATATATTTGTTTTCTGAGGTTTTTGCGGGTGTTTGTATGTAGGTCTTTGGTTATTCGGGTTTTCTCCCGCGTCAAATTGGAAGTGTTTTGGCTTCTTGCTTCTAGGAGTAATGTGTGATCAATGTGTGATAATATTTTTCTATTTGTGCAGAATGCTGTCTTGATGTTGTGTTTATTGAGGATCTTTTTGATTTTGTCTGTGGTGCCTTTTAAGTATGGGAGGAGAGTTTTGCCGTTTTCTTGTTCTCTGTCCACTAAAATCCAACACAGAGAACAAGAAAACGGCAAAGCCCTCCTTCCATACTTAAAAGGCACCACAGACAAAATCAGCAAGATCCTCAACAAACACAACATCAAGATAGCATTCTGCACAAACAGAAAAATATCCACCATCCTAAGAAACCCCAAAGACAAAATTAAGTTAGAAAATCAAGGCGTATATGAAATCCCATGCACCGCTTGTCCCACCACATACATCGGACAAACCAACAGAAGAATAAGTGCACGCATTGAAGAACATAAGAACTCAGTCAAAAAAGAGGAACCAACTTCTTCTCTGGTCCAACACCTTAAAGCCACAGGACATGAAATTGACTTTAAAAAGACCAGAACTATCACCAAAACTGAACACTTTAATAACAGAATAATCAGAGAAGCCATCGAGATAGAAAAACGCCCACACAGCATGAATAAACGAGATGATACCTCCCGCCTACCAGCCATTTGAAACCCACCCTTATTGACAAACAAGTCCCTAACCCAAAGAATGACACCAGACCCACACTCACGAAAATCACACATGATGTCACCACCACACATCCACGCAAAAAGCAAACCCAAACCCACACCGATGATGAGGCATGACCACAAACCAGAAACCAGACCACAGCTGCATCATTAGCCACTTTGAACCCCTCCAATCCATACATGAAACAAACTGACACCCACCATGAAGATGAGGCACGACCACGAACGCGAAGAAAAACAAGAGCAATGCAGGTCACCATCTCAAATCCCCCTGCAACTCAGACTAACCCAAGCACAACAAAGCCCCCACCCAAACCGAACACTCCCCCATCCAATCAGAGCACAGCCAACCCCCCATCCAATCAGAGCACAGCCAAGCCCCTAACCAATCAGAACACACCTCCACCCAATCAGAATACAGCTAAGCTCCCATCCAATCAGTTCATACCCCCACTAGCAGTTAAAAGGAAGAAACAGCTATGATCACACATTGCTTCTAGAAGCAAGAAGCAGAAAACACCAGCCTGAAGACGACGAATGGGACTTCGTCGAAATGTCACCAAGACACTTCCAATCTGATGTGGGAGAAAACCCGAATAACCAAAGACCTACATTTCAATATATATATATATATATTTCAAAAGAAATTTTCCAGTCTTTAAAAAGAAAAATAACTCAATACATCAACATTCATAACTGTTCTATGGCTTCTTGGACACCAGAAATAGCTTACTAGGTAGACAAGCACAAAACCCAACACCACATATTTCTGTAACTTTTCTTTGTAGAATAGTTTTAGCTTGTAACATATCTGGGAGACTATTGGCATTTGATAGATGAGGACACAAGTTTACATTTCAAGCTAATCATTTTTACACTGAAGGAAATCCCACTTTGATCAATGGTGTGACATCCAAGAAAGAATGAATAAAACTGCAACCTTGGAATTGGAATAAACTGAAATTGTTTAGTAACAATGGCAATATTTCACAAAATCAACACAATCCTCACAATTACTGAAGAAAAGAATCTGGGGGGTGCTCTCTGAGCTTGGTGGTTTTCTTGCAGATGTTTCATTACCCAACTAGGTAACATTGTCAGTCAGCACCTAGTTGGATAATGAAACATATGCAAAAAAACTACTAAGCTGAGAGAGAGCACCAAGGATCCCACAGTTCAATCCTGAGTTACAAACATTCTTTTTTTTTTAAATCAGAAAAGCATCTGTTTTCATTGATTGCTTACCTGGGCCTTATGTAACAGTCTTCTAGCTTGCAGTCCAGTATGTTCAGATCCCTGAAACAGTGAGACAGAACATTCAGTGTGACAGATGTCAAGCTAACCAAGCCCATATCAATAAACACAGCTGAATCAACAGAGAGAATGCACATTTTGAAAGACTAGTCAAGAAAGTTAGCATGCAACTCCAGCTGCAAAAAATCTTTCATGGGCTCACAAACTGAACAGCCACCATTTTTCTCTGCTCTCATCAAAAAAGTAAACCAATTGCATTGACAAAAAGCCACTGGAAATAAAAAAATTGCATTTAAGATTGCCTACGATAAAACTCTTCCTTTTTGTCATAGAAATGTAGGTTATATATTACTGTTAGCAAGAGTTGCATTACTATTATTGTTAATTTTAGTTCTGTTTATTGCCTCAAGGGTTATATATTGTAACATAATTTTGTTGCCTCTAGTTAATGTTAATTAGCTGTTTTAATAGCCTATAATACCTATTTGTTAAGTTTTGGCAGGTTTACTTTTTTAACTATCAGTAACTTAATCACTTGGAATATTTAACATTGCTGTTGCATACTCAAAATTACAGTTACTATTAATGTTACCTGTTTAACGTTTAGTCATCCTTTGAGTCCTGCGACATATTTCGTTAATAATCATCAGCCATCAAGTCTGATATTCTCAAAAGAAATAACAGCCCTCTATAAACTGCCTTCAAGGGAGGTGATAATTAGCACTGAAAATTACAAATAGAGTTTTTGAAGTTGAATAGCAACAACTGGGCAGTGACACTGATGATTGGACTGTCAAGACAAGTTATTAGAGAACTCCGCAAATGCAGCCGACAGACTCCTCAGAGTGAAAACAAGAAGGTGAGTCTATGCAATGCTTACATGTTGAATGGGATATTTAATGTATGGGGAGACTCAGCGGTTGAAGATCTAGCATTTAGACAGTCTAACACTGGTAAGCAATAATCTTACCTCTTTAAACTCCATTACATTCTCACGAGAGACAGGCTAATACAAACGAATCAATCAGAGTGTGTGTTTAGCAAGATCAAACTTAAGAGGAGAGTTTAAAAATCCATTTATTCTTCTAAAGCCACGACTTTTTTCCCCATTAACATGTTATATACATTAGTGTCCTCTAGTCATGAGTCATGTCACAGTTTAGTTGGTTAGCTTTTAAATTATTTAACAACCATAAGCTATTAATACAATTTTTTTAAAGTCTTGCACATCGTCTTAAAACAAACTTGGGTTCATTTATATAGAGATTTTGTTTTTGTAAAAGAAAGGGTTTATATCAAAAACATATTTAGGCATCTCTTGAAGAAGAAATCAAGCAGGCATTTAAAGCTAAACACACGTAATTCCAAATTTAGTTTGTTACAAAAGTTTTCAGCTTTATTGACAAGTTATGGCAAACATATTTGACAAAATTATGTTTCCTATTTAGAGAAGCTTACACATGGAACTTTATGTGATTTAAAAAAAATAATAAAAAACAAAACAAATACAGATTAAAACACTGGACAAATTCAGTTAGCTACATCCATACAGTAGTAGCTTGTTGTCAACCCCGTTAAAACAGCATTTAAAATGAAATTTACAAACTTAATATTAAGCATTTTAAATCTAACTAACATATATTAAAAGACAGGTTAAAACAGCTTATCTACATCTCGATTATCATCTGGTTCAAAAAAAGGTCATATTACATTTTTTAGCAACCCTAAATAAAAACTCAACCTTAGGGTGGGGACAGGGCGTAAGAGATGCAGCTTCATGCTTCTTTTTTTTTTTTCCTGTTTTGCTTTAAAATTACACACAACAGTGAGGAACAACCAAGACAACATCATCTTGCTGAAAGGTTTAGTCAACAACTGCCAACAGTCTTTTAAAGTCCATGTCCTAAAAATAATACTAATGCCAGTTTCACTCCAGTCTGGAAACATAAGTAGTATACAGGTAATCATAACCAGTAATTCCTAGGATAGAAAAAAAATGGGCTATTACTTGTCTTGTTGCTGTTTACGTGGAGACCACGGGTTTTTAATTGTCTTTAAGTTGAGGTCACAGATGTGGAGGACTTTCAATATCTACCATAGGGGTGTTCCCTGTAACTCCCTCTGGTTGACCTAGGAGTCGGAGCTTTTAGGCTGGGACGACTTATAGTCCACTCTTCTTGAGCTAAAACAGACAAAATAGAGAAGAAGTTGCTTTATTTTAGCAGACATGAATACGAGAATCTGATCAAGCTATCCAGCTAATAATGCATTAGAATATGAAGCTAGCGGTACTGTCTAAGATCCAACTGCTAAAGAAAGAAAAATCCGTTTCTTCCAATTTGCAGCACAATCAAAGGTTTAGCAAAACTATCAGCCCTGGAAAAAAATACTCTTCGATTTTTTTGCCTGTTGCAAACTTATTTCATGCCTGAGTTTCTAATATGGTCTGAATAACTGGATCAGAAATTGAGTCAGAAGGGGGCAGCTGAAAGATGATTATCTGTTTTTCCATTTAACTTAAAAAGCACAGTGGAAATGATGGGAAACTTAGATACTATTCAAGCGGGCTTTCCAATACAAGCAGATAATTCTGTGTACGCACAAAAGTCTATTAATTCATACACACACACAAAGGCACAAACTGCTATAAGTTACTACAATGACAATAGACTAGTTCTCTGCACTAGATCTTAGTGATGTTACTATCACTGTTTGATTTTATTAGCACCCACTTTTCTCTATCTTATTAAATATTGGTAATTATCCATTTACAACCATTTGTTTAGGGACTGTCTGAAGTTACAACGGCATCGAAAAAGTGATTTATGACTGTTGTTTACACTTACATTGCAGCATCCCCATGGTCACGTGATCAAAATTTGGACAGTTGGCAACTGGCAT